TTCAGAATATCTGGGGTGGGGTTTCCTCGTGACTCTGATAGCCCAAGCACCACCACGTTTGAGATAACAGCAGCTTAGAGCAAGCACACTCAGGTTCCTTCAGCAGGTAGTACCGTGGGGAGGGGAAGGAGGAGAACGGGATGGAGGAATGTTTGGGCCTTTCCTGGGTAATCCTCATAGTCAGGGAAGGAAAAGAACTGTGACAGTACAAATATTCAAGTCCAACTTCCTCAAGGACTTTTTCCTTCAGTACTGAAAAAATTTCAGAGAAAATTGAAGGTTTTACATAATGTTTTCATTATGATTGCTGGTTTCAAACTTTGTTTAAAATGGAACAAAGATATAGACACTTACAAAGTAATACGAGTACCTATATGTTGAAGACTGTTTTTAAATATTTTTTCTGTTATGTTGTTCCCACAGAACTTAACAGCTATTCATTTTTAGTCACTCAAAACATTCAACGTAGTTTTCATAGACATAACCCTTTTCCATGCTCATGTTAATATATGTCTATCACTGCATGCATTAGAAAAATTAGTGCAATTGGTATAAGCTGATTTATAAATAATTGACATGACGAATATACATTCAGCATGGTTTTCTTAGAAATAACTTTTTTTGCAATCATATGTCATATATATGTACACATACTATTTACATCTATATACTTATGACTATACATACAGCTACACATCATAGTAATAAGTATACAACATATATCTGGGAACAAACAAAATTGACATGATAAATGTGTCTTGGATATAATAAACATTAACTCATTAATGCCAATCATCATTTGTCTTGTGCATATAACATACTTTGCAAAAAAATGGACAGCATGGATTAGTGTTTAAGCTGTGCTCATATAAGAGAGCTACTCATTAAAAACAAAAATGAGATAGCATGGAAAGACCATTTTAAACAAGGTGTTCAAGAAAAGCCTCTTTGAGTAAGTGATAAAGGTTGCAAACTAAGTAGAGAATCAACTAGCCATTCAAAACCTGGGGAAAGAGTGGGTAAGAGCAAAGGAAACTGTCCAAGACAAAGCCCAGAGCTGAAAATGAGATTTGTCAAATTCAAGAACATGAAGCCAGGCCCAAAGTAGTTGTAGCTAGCCAGGAGTCAGTGGGCCAATGGTAAGATGTGAGATTGGCGTAGGGAAGATCCAAATTACTTAGGGTTTTATATGATGTGGCAAGGATTTGGAATTTTATTCCAGGAGCAGTGTAAGCCATGAAGGGTTTTAAACAAGAGAATGACATGATCTGATTAAGGTTATTCATTCTTTCAAATGAGTATGTGGACAAATCAGTATTTCCACAAATTGCTATGTGGAAATTATATAATCTTTTTATTTAAATGTTTAGTTAATAATATATACAAATTAAAATACTCTGTTCTGTGCATACTATGTATATATATGTATATATACACACACACATATATGCATATGTGTTGATTCTAGAGCTGTTAGCATTTAATATTGCTTTGTATGAAATATATTTCTCATTTTATAAATCTATTTTTGAATAGGAAAATGTTAATATTTTGGTTTAATATTTATTAGTCATGCACATGATTTGTGGGAGAAAGGTAGTTATTTGGATTAGCAAACCAGGATTTTCTTTTGCCTGGTCTACATCATGGAAAGCTATAAATTAAAAAAAAAAATTCCATCTCTCTCTTTTTTAGTTTGTTCTGGGTTTTTGTTTGGTTTGTTGACTTTGCAGAAAAATACTGCTGAATCAGTTCCTTAACCATTTTTCTAGTTCACGTTTTTCAAAATGTCAATTGAATCTAATAGTTGTGTTTTTATAGTGTACAAGCAGGATTTGTAAATTTAATATATTACAAGGACTGGCAAGTAATCATGTGAATCAAACCTAATGTAATACACAGGGAGAGGCTGAGCCTGTGGCCAAATTGGAGAATATGTGCTGCACCTAAGTGCATTCAGATTAAATTGAGAACCTTAGACTCATCCAACAACACATACCTGCAGACTTCATTGATGCACAGGCTACAGATTTGGGGTTCATTGTCCATATTTAAAGCTTCTACAGAATAAAACTTTTGACAAACCTAGCCTGGGGGTGCAGGGGGATCGTGTGATTTTAGATTTCAGTAATGTAAATTATGTGTCTTAAAATAGAGGAGGATCTTTTTCTCTGCTTTCTAAGTGTAGAAAGATGAAATCATTTAGGTTATCAGATTACCTAAAGATAGGAAATATATTCTATTGACATATTATGTCTTGTGATGTTCTTAGTCCTTCTTAGTTATGTTGCTATATTAACATATGAACAAGAATATTTGGGATATAGAATATAATTTTAGGAATGTTAATGTACCAAGCAAGCCCAATATAGGCCTTTCCATAACATTAACTCAAACATACAATTTTTGATGTCTTATGTTTTGAATGTTATTAAAGTAAACCTTTTACAGGAGTGTCTAACCTGTGGCCCGCAGACCTCACGCAGCCCAGGATGGCTACGAATGCAGCCTAACACAATATCATAAATTAACTTAAAACATTATGAGATTTGTGGTTACACGTCACAGTGTATTTAACATGTGGCCCAAGACAACTCTTCTTCCAGTGTGGCCCAGAGACACCGAAAGGTTAGACACCCTACTTAAGATATAGAAAACCAGGAACAAAAGTTATAGAAGTTGTATCTTCTGTGGACTGTCCAGGGTTAAACACATTTATAGATTCCTAAATAGGTCGAAGTTGCTTCCTAATCAGATAGCAAGGTGAGGTAGGGGAACAATCCAAGGCTTACAGGTCCTACTAAGTGGCCCACAGATATTTACAGTAAATTATTTAAGAAATCAGTAATTGAGTAAGATAAAATTCTGATGAAAACAGCTAATTAGAGAAAATAATTTGGGATAGAATTGCTGGTTTCATTTCTTGATGCCCAAGAGATTATCGATTCTATTTTTGCGATGACACGTAAGTAACCAAATAGATACTTTTTGAATTGACCAATTTTTTAAGTGACCATCTTGTGACTCATGTGTTTGATTTCAAATGCCTGCATTTTATATATACTGAATCATATAATCAATTATGATTGAGAATGTGGTATATTTTATTCAAATTCCTTCATTATACTTACCTATCTTTGGGATCTACATCAAATCCTGGTTTTAAAGAGTTGTTATTAATCAGAACATCATTTGTTTATCAAGGCAAATACTTTACTATTTTATGTATGTAATAAACACCAGGTTTGTTATTTTTGACCTTGCTACCTCAGTGTCAGTTTTGATAAAATACATGCCTTTTACTGACAAATTATATACCTTGGTGACAAAAGAACAAGAAACATGCTAGTTTATTAGCTCATGGAAAAAGTAATTAGTGTTATGAAAAATTGTGAAGCCCAATTTCCAACCAATAAAATCTACTTTGTTTCAGGATGAAAAAAAGCACATTAAAATATTTAACAATCTAATTAAAGACCTGAAATATACATATATATATATATATATGAAACATAATAGCATATTGTATAGTACACTAATATCCTATACCATGAGTAATATTTAAATATATTTTTAAGTAATACATATATTAGTTTCCTTAAGTAATTCTTGACTATTGGGCATTCCTGCCAAGAGCCTGATGAGAAAAGCAAGCACCAACCAGAAGTCTGTCTAGAGATTAGCTGACACTATAAAGTGGGAGATGCTGACATATTCTTTTGGGAAGATGGAGATGTAACTGGTAATTCAGTTTCTCTCACAGTCGGCTGTTGCAGATAATTATCCTTAGACCTCATCAGACCTAAGAAAATGCCTGACACACCATCGGAAATTAGGTTCCATGTGTTTAGTTAATGCCCCATCACAGCATGAAAAAAACAAAAGCTTTGCAAGCTTTATTAATTTTATTTTTGCTTTCTTGCCATTAGAATTCTGAAAAATGTAGTTAGTTGAAGTCATATACAATCTCACTTGAATTTGCCTACCTTCACCTGAGATTCACATTGGCATATCTTACTGAATACCCCAAAATCAGTAGCCCTGAGGCATCATCAGACATTAAAACATATTTTGATGTTAATAATACAAGAGGGGAAGAACTAATGGGTGGACACTTACTAAATCTAATCATCATTCCTATTCCTGAGACACATGTACCGGCCAAGAGGTATTTGCAAATCAGTTTTACCCCACTACCTTTAACTATTATGAATTTGTCACTTCATTTGTAGTCTATACATATATAGATAATGCAGGATGCCAGGGTTGTAACCAACCAAAAATAAAGTATTTAAACAGGCTAATACTTGTAGCAGACACACATAGCTTATATTCTTAACTTTCTATACTCTCTACATGAATACTGGAAAAGGCAGACAGTATATTTGAGTAACTTATTTTATTAGGTTTACCAAAGTAAAGGAGATTGCTTCTATTTATCTATTTCTAATTTAACTTCTAATATAAATAGTTGTTACAGACAGCTCATTTGGTCTGTGTACAATCTAATTCCTTTGGGGAGAAATGTATGTGCTCTTAGTGGGACTTCTTTCCCCTTAAGGCTCAGTGATGTTTTGTCTTTTGTTCCCACCTGAGATTTTTGCCATAAAAAATACAGAAATGAGTGACAGTCTGTGTTAACAGTTCCTGGTCTATCAGAAGTGGGAATGGGGAATAGAAAGTAAAAGTACACATAGTGCATTGCAATACAAAAGTGCTGTCAGTAATGAAGAAACCTGTAAGGTGATCCCGGGATATAGAGGAGTGCTTGTGGTGAACAAAAATTAGTGTAATATCTGAATATTTACCAAGATGTTGCTACTGAAACCAACCATAGAACAACCTGTCTTTATAGTTATTTCAGTGGTGTAGCTAAAGATAATGGATCTAAGAAAGGGATTCCCATCCATTCCTGCAGTTTCTTTTGTCTTTTTTATTAAAAAAGTCCCCACGGATCTCTCTAGATCACTTGAATGAATTCATTAAAAATAAACATCAGATATCGTGCATTCTTTTTATTAAGTCCACATTAAACAGTGCAGAGATTTTACTACAACAAAGAGCTTAACATTTTAATGGTTTTCAGTTAAAGTCCTTCAGTGAAAGCTTTGGGATAAAGCAACTATAATTTCAAAGTAATCAAAGAAACTCTGTGAATGAGTATTATCCAAAACTAACACACCGGTAAAGGTTATCCCATCCAATCTAGGGGAAGCATACAGAAAACATGGGAAAATTAACAGTATGAACAATGAAAACAGAAAGAAAACAGGGAGCTGGAAACAACAGCACAGGGATGAAAACTTTGTAGACTGAATTACCCATTTCAGTTATAAAACCTTGCAAAGGGAAAATAAATCGACTTCCAAGTGTCAATTCTCCCCTTGTATTAAGTAAGATTTTTCCCTCTGTAACAGGGTATTAGGGTTTTTTCTTTTCTTCAGAGTAAGATCACCCGGATATCCAGGTGTTTGTGCTTCTGTTAAGTACTGCTCTATGATACACATGTCCACATCCTCAAGGCTTATACATAAATTAGGAAGTAGCTCTGATGGAAATGTGCTCAGCCTGACCTTTCTACTGATTTTTAACTGTCTCAGTGGCATGTATACTAAAACTAAACAGCTTTACAACTTAATAAAAAGTAATAACCACCAACTGAACAGAGAATTTAGGCCATAAGAATCTGCCTACCTACCTGGGCTTCAATTATTCTGATAAAATGGTAATAGACAAATAGATTTTAATGTAAGAAAACTAAATGGTATGTTAAATGTTGGTGAGACTAAGATTTTTAACTTCTGATTCTGGCTGATCAAATGGGTATCGTCTGTATATAAATGCTAGTTACCACACAAAGCTTTACTGCATGAAGCCCTTTACTTTTTATGAAAAGCTCAATGTGGTGCATAATGCATCTGCATATACTGGTTCCTAGACACCGATTTTAGGAAAGGATATGAGAAAATAATTCAGATTCAGATTTAGGACTTACAGACTACTGAGACATAGGAAGGTATGGAGTGAGATACTGAGTCTCATCAGAGCAGACTTAAATAACCTGGTTAATCCTAGAACTGTTCCAGTAAATCCAGCATATTCAGTTTGGGCCAGAATATTGCTGGCCTCTAATGGATAAGTGAAACATCACACTCAGATGCATACATAGCCTTAGAAAAACAATTCCAATACCATAACTGTACATTTATCCTGTTAAATCTAACATTTCAAAATAATTCCAAAACACTGAAACAATGCTTAACCTACTACAACATTCTACTGCCCCCAAACAGGATTGTGTACTTTACATGACTTACCAAAATATGTATCTTATATTTTGGAGGTAAACTTCTTTATTTTCTTATACAACCAAAAATCTTAAACTATGTTGGTACATTACCATTTTAAAGAGATCATCTTTTAGTCTTTATGTGCAGATTTTACATTGTTTTACTCAGTATTTTTTAGAAAGAAGTTAACATATTGCAGACACTTTTAATATTGCTGCATATTCTTTGTAATCTTATTTAGTATGATATAATCATTTTCAGAGTTATTTTTGTATATTTACAGTAAATTAAAGTGAACAGACCCACTCCTTCTTCCCCTTTCCTCCCCTCCCTAATTAAAAGTAAAAAGCAAAACAAAACAAACAAAAAATGAGATTAGGGTTTGGCAAGAGGGAAACCCTAATCGTTACACTGTGAGGCCAGCTTTTTGCATCCATTCTCTATGCTACAGAAAACTTTCTGGGATTACTGCCAAGTATTTCTAAAACCTCTTAAGAAGCTCCAGTAGATTTCTGGATTTGTTCCTTTAAAATCAAGATACTCTGCCTTTGCTCAGGAGGCAGCATGGCAATTTGATCAGCAGTCAGTTGAAGAACCTGCATGATCAAAGCTGCCTTTTCTTGATCCTGTGGAGTTACTTGGCTCTGCCCAGGACTAAAACTGCTAGGCTGACCTCCACCTTGCTTACCAGCCGCCTGCATTCCTCCTGCCTGCATTCCTCCTGCCTGCATGCTGGCTCCCTGCATGCTGGCTCCCTGCATGCTGGCTCCCTGCATGCCAGCTCCTTGCATGCCTGCTCCAGGATTTCCCACTCCTGAAATGCCTGGGACCTGCCTGGGTCCCTGAGGACCACCTGCCCCCATATTAATAGGACCAGGACCCTGCATTCCACTGGTCATAGGGCCTCTTGAACTGGGGCCAGGGCCTCGTATCTCCATTCCTCTTCCATCCATGCCTCTTGCTTCCATGCCTCTGGTTTCCATCGCACAGGTCTCCATCCCTCTTCTCTCCATCACTCGTGTCTCTAAGACCTCAGTTTCCATAGCTCTGGTCTCCATCCCTCGAGAGTCTCTACCACCTCTACCATCCAGAGGGAGACCCCTTTGATCCATCATGGGTCCTCTTGGCTCTCCAATTAGCATTCTGGGATCGCCTAATGGCCCTCCCCTCATCTCGTGTGAGGAAGGGCCACGGCTGTCATGACCAGGGGCATGGTGCATAGGAGGACCCTGATGAGGTGGGCCAAGATAACCTCTGGGTTCCACTTCTCCAGTGACTGAAAGCAAAGTCCCTCCACGTGGGTCATTTGGAGCATCTCCCAACAGTCCTCGGGGAGGCAGTCCACCAGCAGTCATGGGTCCACGAGGCATAGGTGCTCTAGGATCCGACATCTGCAACTGTCCCCGCTCTAAAGGTACCGGACCAACACCTGGCATTCCAACTTGGGGCTGCATAGCTCCACCAGGAGTTAAGGAGCCAGGACCAGGGCCAGGACCAGCAGCTGGTATGGGTCCCGGGGCCGGAATTCCACCCTGAATAGGGGTCTGCATCAGTGGAGGAATGTCTTTCACAGGTCTTCTAGCCAAATGCTGAGGCTGAGGTGCTGAAGGATTCTGTTGGTTCAGCAAAACATTAGGTCCTGCGCAGAGCCCAGGGCCAGGGCCAGGGCCAGGGCCAGGGGCAGAGACGGGGCCAGGGACGGGGCCAGAGACAGGCTGCGATTTGCCTGGGATCAGTGGCGTTACATGTATTTTGCGATGCAGAATTTTCAGAGCAATCTCTGGATCCATAATTCTCATCACTACTTGTGCCTGCAACAGCGCATAAGCCAGCTGAGGGTTTTGCAGTAACATGTTTCGAGCTTCCTGGTGGCTGTTTTGAACACAGAGCTTCATCTGTTTCATGAGCTCAAACATCTGCTCCGGGGGGAGACTAGCGACTGCTCTGGTGATTGACTCAGGGGCATCCTCCGGGTCGATGGGGTCCCCATATGGTGAGTCAATGATGGGCGCTGCAGGCCCTAGGCTCTTTAACTCCTCCTTGTTCTTTTCACTGGCAGCATTGTCCACCCGCAGCGCTCTGCCACTGAACTCCCGCCCATTCAGGTTACGCATGGCACTCAGCGCAGTCTCCTGGTCCTGGTACTCGCAGAAGCCATAACCCTTGGGTTTTCCCGTCTCTCTATCGTATACTAGCCGGAAACTCACAACAGAACCAACCTCCGAAAAAATGTCCTTTAACTGCTCCTCAGTTGCCTCATATGGAATGTTCCCCACGAACACGGAACGCAGTGATCGATCCATTGCCGGGTCTCTCACCGCCAAACTCGACATGATTCCGGTCGTGCACACGGCGGCTGCGAGCGAGCGGATTCTCCTGAGCCGTTCTCCTCAGACCTACACTTCCGCTGAGCAACGGAAGCGGCTTTCCAATTCCGGGCAGAAACCTCAAAAAGTCCACTTCAATAGTTCCGCCTATGTATGGAATCTGCACTATACGTTCCACTGTATTAGCTAATTATTTCTGTTCCTCATTCTAACGTGATTCTCTCCACTGCTTCTTACCTAGATGCATGATTATTTTATCGTCTCTTATTCCGCAGACTTCATTGGTGCGGCACTATGTTCCGCCAGTAAGAGCTTCCGGCTCATTAACCTCAGTAAAGATGGCCGCATAGGCCTCACCATGGTAACGAGGGGAAGCTGTCCCCTCCCCTTGACGTCAAGTACGTTTTACCTTCCTTGTGCCCTGGCGGGGAAACCGCCAAACGAAAGCTGATTAAGGCAGCTTGTTCTGAATTCTGATACAGGTATTTTCACAGAGCAGTTAGTTTCCTGTAACCTTTATGAAAGTGTAGTCGTTTCAAAGTAGATTTGGGAAATGTTCCTTTAAATACAAAAGTAATAGCTCCATTTTAGGAAAACATTACTGCCGAGAAATAAACACAAAGTGTGCCAGCTCTATCCCCGCCCCCATCTTAACCCTTAGGACAACCGCTGTTGATAAGTACCAGGCACTCCGAAGTTTTTCTCCGTGCGCGCAGTTAGCAGTCAGCTGTTGATAATATTACTTTTTTCTTTAATCGATATTACTAGTAATGACTCATAAGTCATATTTATGGCTGCAGAGTGTGAATTAAACTTATTTAATTATCCTTATATTGTAGGCGTTTATATTTATTCTGATTTTTAAAAGCTGATGCAACCCTCTTTTATGAGCCGAAGGGCAGACTAGTTATTTCTATTCTGCTGGAAGTTTTGATGGGGGAAGTTGAGTATACATAGTGGTGTGTGGTCTTCCCTTCCCTCCCTCCCCCATCCCCACCCCCCACCTCACAGACAGACTACAGAACTGAAGGTAGAGATGGCAAGGTAGTTTGCTAAGCAGAGAGTCAATGGCAAAGCCAGAATTTTTACCCAGGTGTGGTCTGTCATAGCTCCAGAGCTGCACTTGCCCCATGCGATAGCCACTAGCCACCTGTAGCTCTCGAGTACTCCAAATGTGGATAGCTTGATTGAGAAATTGAACTTTTTATTTTTATTAATGTAAACATAAAACTAATATTTAGTTAGGCTACCAGAAAACTTTTCAGTATGTTTGAAACAACTTGGCTATATGTATAAGTCAGTTCTCCATCCCTTTATTATTTTATCTACTTGGCTACTTCAATCAGTAAATTTTATTCACTCTAAACAAAAATCAAGTATTTCCAGTTAAAATTTAACATTTAATTTAGATGTTCTATACGTGTAAAATACTTGCAAGGTTTTGAAGACAGTATAAGAAATGTAAAATCTTACTAATTTTATATTGCTTACATGTTGAAGTGATAGTGATATTTTAATATGTAAGTTTAAACAAAATATCTAACATTATGCATTTTACTTTTAAAAGTATGGTTACTTGGGAAAATGAAAATTACATATATGGATTATGTCTATGGCCCACACTGCTCCAGAGGCTGAGTCTTAACTCCACATTTTAGTCTACATATGATTTTTGCAGGGATTATGAAGCTTTAAGTTTCATCAAAAATTGTGTTATCTTGGGTGTGTGTCATAGCTTAATGCATAGATCTGAAATGACTATGAGGGTTTTGCTGCAGATAAGACAAAGCCTCCATTTATCATCAAATGTTTTCATTGTTTTTTTAAAACAGGCTTGCACATAGTTATTTACTCCAGACACATGATTAACTGATATATGCAAATGAGGAGGTTTATTTATATCACCTAATAAAATCTTCTTCTCTGTCCAAAGAAACAGAATAGTGCTTGCTAGTAATATTTTTCCCTCAGGTTCTTTCGCTGGAGGCAGACAGGAGTGAACAGAGTTGAGAAAGGGATCATTTGGGAAAACTAAAAACTAGTTAATTTGTGTTTTCTCCCTACCGTCTCTTTACAGAGAGAAGCCATGGCTTTTTTTACACACATTCTATAAGAACAACTTAGACTTCAGTAATTGTGTATATGTTAAATGTAGTAATTATGAGGATGGTAATATGCTATTAGAACAAATTACAAAGTTTATAAAAATGTGCAAGCTTGTCTGGTGGTTTCTTTACTGCTGCTGCTGCTAGTCCCTACCCCAGCGGGCCTCACACTTTAGCATTGCATCAGAACCACCAGGAGGCATGGCTTAAGTCAGGTTGGTGGGTCTCTTCTCCTGTCCTGCCCAGTTATGATGCCGAATTTCTGAAGTGAGAGCGGAGAATTTGTATTTCTAAGAAGTTTCCAGGTGATGCTGAGGCCACTGGTCTGGAGACCAAACTTTAAGAATCATTGCTCTAAACAAAGGGACTTGAAGTGTTTGCTTTTTTAAAAAAAATAGTTTATTTAATAAAAAATAAAATCATGAAAGTTTATTTTTAACTGTGTTTTTTTCATTACCAGTTATCACCCTTCTATCTTTTTCCACCTCCACCCACCCCCTTCTGCCTTTGTTTGTTTGTTTGTTTGTTTGTTTTCCATTTGTATTGGACCAAACTAAATTTAGTAAACTCTGTTATAAAGTATGAGATGGAGATGAATGTTCTTGAAAAAATTATTGATACTTTAATGCTGACCTACTACAGCTTGTACATACTGATTCCACACTGACTATACCCTGGGCTCAAAGGGTAGCTGAGGAACTCTGGGGGCGCACAGGGGAGAAAGCACGACAATAAGAATGTGCTTTTGGTCACAGATCTTTCATGTCCTCTTTAGTCCCCTTATTCCAAACAAGAAGAGTGATTTCATATGGTTCCCTTCATAGAGGACTATACAAGGTATCTTGCACACATAGGGACTCATTTTTTCAATAAATGAAAATATCAGCTGTACTAAGAGTAGTTTTTAAACAAACACACTAGGGCATGTGGCCAAATGGAGGCTGTCCTTGAAACTGATCAGCTTCAGCAACGGTATACTTAATGAATGTAGGCCTCCATTGTTCAAAATGATTTTTAAACTCCTACTCTGAAATTGTTTGAGGGCTCATGTATAAGTCATACTAGAGAACTGGTGTCCTAACTTTCTGACCACATTGGCCAGCATATATTAAATACTCCCAAACATCAAACTTTATATCAGAATATAAGTATTCTGTAAAAGTCAGTGCTATTAAAAATGATTCACCATAGAATAATGGACAAGCTCCAAAGAGAGGTACTAAAAATATTTCTAGTTATGACTGGCATTTTTTGAAAGAAGTACATGGGACCTTCAAGGAATAGATCAAAATACACTCCTCCACAAAGTTCTACTTAATCTCACTTCTCCTTTCCAAAGATTGGAAGTTCATTTTCCTTTGGATATAAACTACTCCATATCTATCCCTTTCTAATGAGAGTAATTCCTCTATCTTTTAGTAGAATTGCGATTTTCTTTCTAAACTATAGCATCAGTCAAGGAAAGAGCTGGGTTTGTTTTGTTAACAAAGTGCCTTTTATTTATTATTTTGTCCCAAAATATTTATTCTAGGCACTGGCAATACAGCAGTGAAAGAGACATTCCACCAGGACTTAAAGAACCTCTTTAAGTGTCATTCCTGGACCAGTGGCATGAGCATCATCAGTTGCAGAACTTGGGGCCTTACTCCAAACCTGCTGAACCCACACTCTTGGGTGGGAGGGGCGGTGGTGGTGTGTGTGACAGTGTATGCATGTGCAAACTGCAAGTTGTTTTACCAAGATTTCCAGGTGATTCTGACACAGGATAAAGTTTAAGAATCATTGAACTAAAGGGAGACAACTCAGATAGATGATAGATACTTTGTCTTCTTCACCTCTATATCTTCAGCATGTAGGCCAAAACTTAGCACAGGTGGGTGCTCATTATATAGAGCTTGGCAGAAGTAAGGCCTGCTTGAGTGTGGTTGGTAGGGTAATAATATGGATATAATGATTTATAATTTTAATTTGAACATTTTACCTAAAATTTCATGTGGTATGCTTGAGTGTGGTATTGTTATGTTACAGAATGACATGCTTATAATTTTGTAATGAAATATTTTATAATAAAAAAGGGGCATTATTTGTACTGGACCCTGTATGTTAAATGAATGATTTGAAACTGCCTTAAGAGTCGACTAATTCACCAACCCTTTATTTTACATAAGAGGGTTAAATAACATGTAGCATTAAATAATGTGCCCTAAATCAGAATGGGGACCTGTTGCCAGAGCTCTTGTCTTATATTCCTAGGTCACTGATAGTTGTTCCATGTTGTTACTTGATAAAATATATACAAAGTATTAGGGATGCAAGAGGGTGTTAAGGTCTAGATCATCAAAGACATCTTCCTGATGAGGCTGGGATTTAAGGGATGGGTTATAATCCAGTGTATATATATAATATGTGTGTGTGTGTGTGTGTGTGTGTGTATAAACAGAAGATGAAGAAAATAAGCCAAGAGCTAGAAATAACCAAGGCATAAAATTGGAAATCAGTGTTTTTGATACCCTTAGAGAAAACCCACACAGAGGTGTGATTAAAGATTTTCTTTGGGACAAATTATAAAAAGGTTTTGAAGTTCAGATTCATGAATCTTAATAATATGAGGGTCAGTAGGTTTTTCATCTTTTAAAACATGGATAATGATGGCAGAGGTCTGAGAACACCAATCTTATATCCCTCAGTGATAGCTTTTGCGCCTAGACCACTCTTAAACATCTTCTATAATGTGGCCTCATTCTCACTAACACTACCTCATATAGTCTCCTTTGGCCAAATTGTACCACTTATTTTTCATGTTTTATACATGATTTGTGCTTTTGCTCATACTATTTTTTGGTTGGGGATTTTTTTCTTTGTTTTTCTCTCGTTCTCCCTCACATAAGTATATAAATTCTTCTGTCCTGTGTTCACCTCAAAAGACTTTCCTTTGAAAGCAGGGTATTGATTTGGCCTCCATTATTTTCTCTCTCATGTTA